AAGAACATTTGCAGTGCAAGTCTTTGTGCAGACAGATATTTTCTCATGGATAGATATGTAGGAGTGAAATTGCTGGGGTGTACAGTAATTTTATATTTAAGACACTGCCAATAGTTTCCTCTAGTGATTGCACCATTTTATTTTATTTTTTGACAGAAATGTATGAAGGCTCCAATTTCTCCCAGTCTCCCCACATTATTTGCTAAAAAAAGTCTTATTTATTATATCCTTTTGAATGGGTGTTGGGAGCCAGCCTCAGAGGCCTTCACGTTGACAGGGTCCGGAAGGCTGAAGACCCCAGGTTGCAGGGCAACTCTGGGCAGCTATTGGCCCTGCTTCTTCTACTCATCTGGTTATAATCGCCGTTGGAATCTGGAGGGTTGGGAGATGCAAAATATAGCAGTTCATTAAAAAAATCTATTAGTAAAAACAAACAATTAGTGAAATGAACCCTCCACTTGAGTTTCTCCATCCCCACCCCTTTGGTGCTTAAACCTGCAACAATAATTAAAAACTGCGGGTAGCACTCTCCTACCCCTGAGAGCCTTGGATTAAATGTACATCATGGCTCTCATTATCTCTGTTAGGGGACTATAGATGCAAATTATAAATTTCATGTTTGGCATCATAATAGGCTTATTAGTTTTAGTTCTTTAAGTTGGTTGCTAATTGGAGAGCTTTGGGGATGTTGTTTTCATTCTGCTAGTTGTGAGGTGTTGGTGGATAATTAATGTAAGGTTGAGGTAGTGGAAGGGGCTTTGTAATTGTGTTTGGAGAAAATGAAATGTTGGGAAAGCATAAGTTGGGCATTGAGTTGTCAAAGATTTGGATGGTTATGGTTAATAGTTTGAGAAAACACATTGTGAAAAATTACATGCTTTAAAGATTCTATTAGTGGATACATTGTCACAAATTTGAGGGAAAACAGACAGTATTTCATCACGATTAGAACAATAATCAAAACAAGATGTTAAAAAAAATACTGTCTGTTCCTGTGTGGTTTATTAACCAAGAACTAATTAATCTGAGACCAAAAAGAAAAATACATCTGGGTTTGAAGGCCAAACTGTATGTAGCTACAAGTATAAAAAGAACTTGAAAAGAAAAATAAATCGGCATCTGTCCTGCACAACAACAGAGTCAGCGTCCAAGTTTTCTCCTACACCGACACCGTTCCTCCTTCAGGAAATTCTGACCTGTTGGAGCTGGATTCCAGCAAATGGGTGTGAAATAGTATCTCAATTGTAGTTTTAGTTTGCATTTCCCTGATGACACTGATCTTTTTGTGTAGTCATTAGCCATTTGTTTAACTTCCTTGGTGAAATGGCTACTCATATCTTTTGCTCATGTGGGTTGTCTATTCTGTTGAGTGATGCAAGTCATCTGTAAAACGTGTTTTATGAATATTTTTTCTTAGTCTTATTTTTTCACTTAATGCTATTCTTTGAAGCACAGAACCAGTGAATTTTTATAAGGTTCAACTTGTCAGCTTTAACATTTTATGGACCATGCTTTTGGGAGGTTATCTAAATAATCTTGGCCTAATGCAAAGTCTTTTTTTTTTTTTTTGAGATGGAGTCTCTCCCCATTGCCCAGGCTGGAGTGCAGTGGCAACTCACGGCCACCTAGCATCGACCTGCTGGGCTCCGGCAGTCCTTCCATCTCAGCCTTCCAAGTAGCTAGAACTATAGGCATGTACTACCATGCCTGGCTAATTTTAAAAAATTTTTATTGTACAGACAAGGTCTCGCCAAATTGCCCGGGCTGGTCTCGAAACTGCGGGCTCAGGCAATCCACTTGCCTTGGCCTCCCAAAGTGCTGGGATTATAAGCCACCGAGTCTGGCTAACCCAAAGTCTTAAAGGTCTTCTCTGTTTTCTTGTCAGAGTTTTGTTTTAGCCCTTGTTTAAGCCTATGATCCACTTTAAGTGAATTTTTGTGTATGGTGTGAGGTAGGCATCCGAGTTCATCTTTGTGCTTGTGGATATTCAATTGTCCCAGCACAGTTTTTTGAACAATCCTTCCCTCAGTTGCCTTGCCACTTTTTAGAAAGTCACTATAAATGTAAGTATTTATTTCTGAACTCTCAATTCTGTTCATTGATTTATGCATCTTTCCTTACACCTATACTAGCTGTCTTGAAAATTGTACTTCTAAAGTTAAGACATAGGGAAGTGGAACTACTCCATTTTGTTCTTGGTTTTCAAAATATTTTGGCTATTCTAGGTGTTTTGTTCACATATTTTTTTTTTTTTTTCCTGGTGGCTCATGCCTGTAATCCCAGCACTTTGGGAGGCTGATGTTCACATATTTTAAAAAGGTATTTTTCAAAACATTTTTATTTGTTTATTTTTTGAGCTGGGGCCTCACTCTGCTGGCCAGACTGGAGTGCAGTGGAATGTTCATGGTCACTGCAGCCTTGACCTGCTGGGCTCAGGTGATCCTTCTGCCTCAGCCTTCCAAGTAGTTGGAACTACGGGCACGTGCCATCATGCCCTGCTAATTTTTCTTGATTTATTGTAGAGATGAGGTCTCGCCAAGTTGCCCAGGCAATCTTCTCACTTTGGCCTCCCAAAGTGCTGGGATTATAGGCGTGAGCCACTGCACCTGGCCAAAAAAAGGTATTTTAATAACCATTCAGTTTTTCTTAGTTCTAAGAATTTATAATTTGCATTATTTAATCTTTGACCTGAATTATTCAGTTTTTAAAATTTTAATATGAACAGGTATTTCTAAAAGTTTTGACTTTTGACTTCAAAGTTAGTTGCACTGTAGTCAGAAAATCCATTGTACATAAATTTGAAAGTTTTTGAGCCATGTTCTATGACCTAATACTCTCCAATTTTTATAAATGTCCCAGGTAAACTTGACAAGCATGTGTATTCTCTAACTGTAAAGATGCAGAGATCTACGTTTGTTATTTTTTTAATTTTTAATTTTTTGAGACAGATTCTCTTTCTGTTGCCCAGGCTGGAGTGTACTGACACCATCATGGCTTACTGCAGCCTTGATCTTCTGGGCTCAGGCGACCCTCCCACTTCACCCCACCTTTCCAAGTAACTGGGACTATAGGTGCATGTCACCACACCCAGCTAATTTATTTTTTGTAGAGATGAGGTCTCGTTATGCTGCCCAGGTTGACCTCAAACTCCTGGGTCCAAGTAATCTAGTCTTGGCCTCCCAAAGTGTTGGGATTACAGGCATGAGCCACTGTGACTGGCCTGTTATATCAATCTTATTAAATGTGCTATTCAAATCTTCTATATCTTTTCTGCTAATATTACAGAAAGTGTGATCTCCAACTGTGACAAAAATTTGTTAATCTCTGCATTTTTAAGCGATTTTGTTTTTAATATACTGAAGTTTTTGGGTAGGTACATACAGGTTTTGCATTATTATTAAAGAGTTAGGATTATTATTTATGAGCTATGTTGCTCAGGCTGGACTCAAACTCTGTGGCTCAAGGGATCTTCTGGCCTCAGCCTGCTGAGTAGCTGGGACTACAGGCATGCACCACCGTGCCGCCCAGCTTAACTTTTTATGTGTCAATCCTCTCTGTCCTTACATCTTGTCTCAGAGTCTCCTTTAATATTAAGATAGCCATTCCAGAGTTATTCTGTTTAACATCTTCTTGGTCACTTTGCTTTTGTTGTTTATCTTGTCATCAGTATATAACTGGATTTTTCAAAGAATCGAATTTGAGTCTCTTTGAACTATTCAGTCCATTTACACAGATTGCAATTCTGAAATATTTATGCTTCTTTCTAACCACCTCATTTTCTTCTAAAGACTTTTTCAAAAGGTAGAGTTAACATATTTTAGTTTTAAAAGTTTCTTCCTGGGCAACCCCCTCAGGTCCCCTCCCACTGTGGGAGCTTTTCTGTCCTCTCAATAAATCCTGCTTTCAAAAAAAAAAAAAAAAAAGTTTCTTCCCAACTATGTACTATTCTTGTTTTAGTATACAATTCCTGTACTGAAAGATGTGAATACCTAAATAAAAGCTACCTAACAAAATGTTTAGAAATAAAAATAGCCTGTTTGTATTTTTTTCACCCATGCTGGAGTGCAGTGGTACAATCAGCTCAAGTCTTAAAATTCCTAGGCTTAAGTGACCCCCATGCCTCAGCCTCTTGAGTAGCTGGGAGTACAGGCACACACCACCATGCCTGGCTAATTATTTTTATTTTTTGTAGATGAGGTCTCGCTTTGTTCCCAAGGCTCATCTTTAATTCCTGGTCTCAAGAGATCCTCCCACCTTGGCCTCCTAAAGTGCTGGGATCATAGGCATGAGCCAGTGTTGGCCAAAAATGGCTTTTTTATGATCTAAAAGTTACCATCTATTTGAATTTTTCCTTTTGAAAATAAGCCCAATATAAAGAATTACATTTAAGTTTCCTTTTTTATTTGAGTCAGAGTCTTACTCCAGACTGGAGTGCAATAGCACTCTCACAGCCACTACAGCCTTGACCTGGTGGACTCAGGCGATCCTTCCACCTCAGCCTTTCAAGTAGCTGGAACCACAGATGTGTGCTGTGCCTGGCTAATTTTTTTGATTTATTGTAGAGATGAGGTCTCACCTTCGCCTCCCAAAGTGCTGGGATTACAGGTGTGAGCTACCACACCCAGCTTGAGTTACAAGATTGATTGATTTTTTGAGTCAGAGTCTTCCTCTGTTGCCCAGGCTCATGGCCACTGCAGTCTCAACCTGTTGGGCTCAGGAGATCCTTCCACTTCAGCCTTCCAAGTAGCTGGAACTACAGGCGCATGCCATCATGCCTGGCTAATTATTGTAGAGGAGAGGTCTCACCAAGTTGACCAGGCTGGTCTTGAATCCTGGGCTCAGGCAGTCCTCTCACCTCCACCTCCCAAAGTGCTGGGATTATAGGCATAAGCCAATGTGCCTGGCTAAAATTTACTTTTAAAATTTTTTAGAGATGGGGTCTTGCTATGTTGCCCAGGCTGACTGTACACTCCTGCAATGCATATCACAGCAAATCAATGTTTTTTGTTTAAAATGAAAAGTTTATTTGCTCAGTACACCAAATAGGATGCAAGCACTGTCATGACAAATATACAGAAGTATGCAGATCAACATAAAACAGTCATTTAGTTTAAATGAAGGGGAAATCTCTTTAAATGTTATGACAACATACTCCCAAGAAGAATCTTTTCTTCTGTTAATTATACATTTCAATAAAATAAAGGGTAATGGATTAGTGGAAGTTAGCTTGTGAATTTTTCTTAAAAATAAAACTCCAACTCTATTACTCCATGCCTTAAACACTATAACTAAAATTTCCAAATAAGCGCAAAAAAATGAAGCAGTTAGTTACCTTTTTTGCTTCAACAGTCCAGAGGAAAATGGTTACTACAGATACAGCAGGCAAACTGTCAGACTGACCAATCCAGAACATAGGGTACTGAATTTCAGTCTCAAATTGTGCTAAATGTTCATCATTAGTATGGCACATTTTGGTCCATGATGTGGTTTAATGCCAAGACAGATCCCAATTTGTTACAGAAACACATAGATTACTGTTGCTTCTTTTGTTTTTAAATATATGTATTTTTAAAAAGCCAGCTATACTTCCACATACAAAGGCAGGTTTTCCCAGGAGGAATTTATAGGAAGTAGTCTGGGGTACGCCGTGTAACATGAGGCTCTCCACGACGCGGTGCTGGGTCAAACTGAAGGCTGTAAACGTCAAAAAAGAGGAAGAGTTAAAGGACATGACTTTGAAAGCAAATACAGAACAAGATACTGTAGCAGACACAGTAGTCTTAATTTCTCACAAGTACCGCGTCACTTATGGCTGGAATGACCCTGGGAAAGTCACTGCTATTGCTCAAAGTTGTGGTAAAAATTCAAGCAAAATGTCTGGTTTGGTGCTTGGAATAAAATATTTTTAATACTGTTATTAGTTCAGTAGAAGTGATGAAAACACACATTCTTCTCTTGTTCCTGATTTTTTGGTTTTTTCTTTTTTGTTTTTTGAGTTGGAGTCTCACTCTGTCACCCAGACTGGAGTGCAGTGTCCACTCCCGGCCACCGCAGCCTCAACC